AAAAAAAATATAAAAAATATATAATCAATTTTCAGGCACAATTGGGTGGTTTCCTTCTTCTAAAAATAGATTTCATCATCTTCATTTATAAACTAAGCTTAACAGTTTCTACGTTCCTAGACTCTATAAACTAAACTTCACGAATTCATAGATGATACATCTAGCAAACTGACTTCTGATCCAAATCCAAACTTTGTTTCTCATTTACATAAGGAATAAAAAAAGAAAGAAAATTTATTTTCTTGAAAGTGCAACACATCCGGTATTATTTCTCTCCGTATCACGGTGACAGATGAAATGTCTTCTGAATATTGATTTTTATTCCAAATTTTTACGTGTATCTCGATATTCAATATTTACCGAATGTTGTTTGTATACTTGCATGAGAGAAAAGAGAGAAGAAATTTGTTTTTAAAAATGTAACATATCTTATCTTTAGTATCGTTAATATTTCTGTAGAGATGAGATGACACGCAAAATGACTTTTTCCCGAACTCTTTGAACGAAATATCTTGCTTTCGATATTTATAACATGGATTTTCTTTCGCGTAAAAGGAAAAGAAACGATGTTTGAAATTTGCTCTTGACAGGGAGTATAGAGAGTAATATAGATGTAGATCGTGTTTAATATCGTTAGTATTTACGTTATTTGCAGAGATGAGATATCTTTCAAATTGAATTTTATTTTTAAACAAATTTTAACATCGCAACGAAGTGGACGAATGTGGTTTTCAACGATGATTACGAGGGTGAATATATTGTGAAAATCAATTAAATTTTACTGTGATTACTGACTGTGAAATTAGATAGTTATAAGTGATAAATGAATTTCTAGTTTCACGTTTTTGTTTAACAATGCAATTTTTATTTATTTTTTCGACAATATTAATAATCTAACTTGCATTATTTTCATTAATTTGACTTATTCATAAAATTACTAAATTATTAAATTTTTATAATTATTATACTCATTTATAATCGGTATTTAGCTATTAAAAATGCAATAATTAAAATTCCCGCTAAACTGAAGTTATATCATAATTAAATATAATAAACCAGAATGAAATTATATACAGTAATATTTTCCACAATATCATATTGAAATTTTAGCTTCGTTTTGATTATTTTTACTCGTTATCTTTTTCCTTAACATTTCAAAAATTTAAATACTTCTCCCTTTGTAAATGTTAAGGTTAAAAAAAAAAAAGGCGCAAAAAAAATAGAACTGAAAATGCATTTATTTATATAGCTACGACGACGTAGGACCGTCCTGCTTTCATTTTATTTTTACCCAGTATTCCTTTCTATTTGTGCGCTTGCTTTGGGAAGCGCATAGTACTCTCTCTCTTCAAATTTGCACGACAAACGTCGGGAGTTACCAAGATTTCTCTGTTTCTGAAACGAAAACGATTGAAACGTTTCCGATTCCATGCTCATTCATTGTTTTCTGTTTTTTTTTTCTTTTTTTTCTTTTTTTTTTTTTTCCCAAAATATCGAGACGTTTTCAAATACTCGCTGCTTCTCTTATTTTGCATAAATGCAAATTACGCGAATGTTATTATTATTATAATACTGTGGGAGATGTTTTTATCGTGAAAGATATATTTTGATATCAATTCGTGTATGTGAATGTGGGAATATTTTAAATTTTCGCAAGAAATGACTTTATTTTATTAACGTTGTGATATTTGTAAAAAAAAAAATAAAAAAATAAAAAAATCGTAATGTTTACAGTTTGGGTTAACGTTGTTTTCATTCGTGAATAAATGATTCTTAAATTCGATTTATTCCATACAACTTTCACGAACAAAAATCGATAACGATCAGAGAAACGAAGAGAGAGAGAGAGAGAGAGAGAGAGAGAGAGAGAGAGAGAGAGATTCAAATATTAATTTAATACGACTAATTTACAATTTCATATATATTGATGAGATTTTTTAATCATATTGTATCGAGTATCTAGAGAAATGAAACGTAGGATCGATAGAAATGGAAGAGCGATGGAATAAATTCATAATTCATCGGAAATTATAACTTTAAATAGAAATAAAGTTGAACTGAGATAATAATGTTGGATAAGTAATCGGGAAGTGGAGATAATCGATAAAGATTGATTCTCTCAATCAATTTTAAGATATTTTATTATCGATAATTTTAGAAAACAGTTATTGTTTTCGTTCAATATTTTCGTGGAATAAATAATAACATTGTCCGGGATATTTTTTGTTTGTTGCGAATAAATTTTATTTATTTAATTTAAATAAATAATTCGATAAACGAAATTATGGGGTGTTGTTTCAGCTTTCATTAAAGCACAGTATAGATTGTTAACGTTGTTTGTAATGGAAAAACTTTAAAACTCGTGAAATTGGTATAGTACGAAGTATTCACAAATAAGAGTTCCACTATCCATTCTATTCCGTTCATGATTTTTTACAGAAAATTTGATTGCTTAAAAAGATTAATTAAATATTTAGACAATTTTTTTAAAAGTTTCCATTTGACGCATTACCATGAAATTTCTTTGCAAGATATATCTAAAGAAATTTTATCGTTAGACCGGTTCGTATAGCTTTCCTATACTTTCCTAACTCTTAATTGATACATTATAAAGTTTAATAAAAGTACGAAAGTCTTCGTTTAGCCGCCTTAAGTGCACCTTCCTTAGTCTTTAAAAACAATTACCAAGCATTAATCTAGGATTATATCGAGTAAGGAACGCGGGAAAGCATTTAAAGCGTTCTCTTTAGAATCGAGAAAATAGCTATTAATATTAACGAAAATATATAATAATTAATAATTAATAAATAGATGATTATTGAATCTGATTAATTTAAATAATATTGAATTTCATACAATTTTTAATTGTTCATTGCATTTACATTAGTAAAAAGTATTGCAAAAGTCAAAAATCACGTATCGAAACGGCCGCCGAGTGATATCTTAATTATATAACTAGAATGAAATCCCTAGAATTTCACCGTAATCTATCGAACCACTTGATTCACACGAGTAATGTACAAAGGAATGAAATTCCATTTGATGAATACGCAACAATATGGAATAGAAAATGAAGCTCGGACAGCTGTGGAAATATGGTTTGAGAAATTGGAGCAACCCTTAATCCTGGCCAAAAACTCTTCGTATAAATTTTCCACTCCCAGGAGAATGATTTATTTCACGACTGCACTGTTCTCCAAAAAATATCCCCACGAAATTGCAGTCGAAAGTTCAAACCAAGTAAATCGCCACGGTTATCTCACGCGGATCACGAGTAAAAAATAACCGCCTTGGAAGGATTCGAAAACGAGGCCAAAGAGATGTAAGGGTAATGACAATGCTTTTTCTTTTTTCTTTCCACGCCCGATTGCTGGTTTGTTCGTGACACGCCTTTTAACGATGGTTAAAAGGAACAAAAAGTCTTTTGTAATCTTTTGTAATCTCCGCTTATGGTCATCGACGCCCGGATATATAGAGCTCGATAGAAATCGTAATTAAAAAAAAACTAGGAAGGGAGGAAATTCTGATTAGCGATTGTATACTTCGTTTCTTGGTATATTTATATTTTCATGTGGTTTGAGAATTATATAGAGGAGGATAGTGAGATTTTATTTGGAATTGTGGATAGATCGTGGGACATTGAATGGTTTAATTCAAAACAAATACAAAAATGTTGAGACTTATTTATCGAGTTATAAGCGATTGAAGTTTGCATTAGATGAAGCGAGATGGAAACAACATGGAGCGCCGCGGTGCGGCGTGGCAGCGTAACAAAAGTAAAGCTGTCTCACTCTATCTTCATTTTATCTTCATTTAACGCAAGTTTTAATTGTTTATAAATTAATAAATAAAATTTCACTTTATGATATTATAGATTTTCATTTGAAAATATTAATTTTTCTTTAATTTTCTTTAACTTTATCAAATAAAAAAAAAGAAGGACTTTCAATTAGATAAATTATTAAGTTTGAGAAATGTTAAAAATATAAATTATAAGTAATAGTAATAAATGTTAATAAGAAAAAGGATATTTTCTATCTCAAGAATAATTCTAAAAAAAAATTTATTCCACTCTAAATAATTGTATCATTTAATTAGAAAAAGAAGAAAAATCATATTCTACTAAGAAATAAATTCTCGTTTATTTATTTTTCAACTAACTGTTTGATTTTCATTAAACTTAATTTCGAGAAATCAGTAATAATAAAAATCAATAACAATAGGCATTATACTCTTCGTTATTGCAAAGGACAATCAGCTTCGTCATTTTGACAAGAGAAACGACTTCCATAATTTATTCAGAACCATCTGCTCTGCTCACAAATTTCCATTCGTAATCGATCATGTGCAATCAATATTGCGTGTTTCAATGCTTGATAAATAAGATGGATGACACACCAGAAATCTACCACAATGTCTGATAAGTGTCATATAAATCTATTAAATCTACACATGTTACTTACTATGTTATAAAGTTAATATTTAAATTATTTATTTTTTATAATTATCATTAATTATTATTGATCTTGTTGTGTTTATAAGATAAAACGTTTTCAAATTAAATTGATATAGCAAACAATCCGTTGAATTAGAATCATTTTCATATGTTATCAATATATCTTCAATCAACAATTTTCTATACTCCACTTGTACATAATTCAAAGTTTCACAGAAGCAAATGAAATTCGAATATTGCTTTATCTCTCATGCCGTTTACAATAGATCATATACATAGATTTCTCTGAATCGTGTGTATAATATTCCTACATCAACCATCTCGAAAAATATTTTAATATTTCCTAACGAATAATTTACTTATTATCACTCCAAAGTTTTTACAAGAAAATTACAAGAAAATATAAACGTTTAGATATCATACAAAATATAAATTTGAATCGTTATTTAACCAAGAATCTAACTAATCTTCTCATTTTTCTTTTCAAAGCGATAAATAAAAATAAAAGCGTCGAGGCAAATAATTGACTGTGATGACTTTACAGAGAGCGACAAGAGGGTGGTGGTGAGACGAGAGGCTGGTGGAGAGTTTGGTTTCCGGATCCACGGCTCGAAACCGGTGGTCGTTTCCGCGATCGAGCCCGACACGCCTGCCGAGAGCTCGGGCCTCGAAGTCGGCGACATTATAATGTCGGTGAACGGAAAAAGCGTGATGGACGCGACTCATTCGGAAGTGGTGAGGCTCGCGCACTCTGGAACCGACGTCCTTGAACTCGAAGTGGCGAGGACGTGCAACGTGCTCGCGCCGCGGGTGTCCAGGCCCGGCACCAAGGAAGGAAACGACGAGGCGCCGCTTTGTTCCGGATACCTGTGGAGAAAATCCGCCACCTCCTCGAACACGGACAAGTGGGTGAGGAGATGGTTCGCCTTGCGACGTGACAACTGCCTCTACTATTACAAGACTGACGCGGTTGGTACCAGATATTAGTTTCTTCGAATGTTTTCTTCTTCTTCTTCTTCTTCTTCTTCTTCTTCTTCTTCTTCCTCTTCTACCCCTTCTTCCCCTTCTTCCTCTTCTTCCTTTTCTTCCTCTTCTACCCCTTCTTCCCCTTCTTCCTCTTCTTTCTCTTCTTCCTCTTCTTCCTCTTCTTCCTCTTCTTCCTCTTCTTCCTCTTGGTCATTGATTGCACGTAAGTGGCGATACGAATAATTTATTATATATTTATTATGGATTGTTAATAAGANTCTTCTTCTTCTTCTTCTTCTTCTTCTTTTCTCTTCTTCGAAGTGATAAACAGTAAATGGATTATGAAATATTTATTCGTAATTTAGAAGAAGACTTTTAATATTTTCTCGATGTTTAAACGATTTAAACGTTTCACCATTGAAAATTTCAATCTACTTCCGGCCAATTTAATAGGTGAGATATAATTACACTTGCCGATAATGTAACGAGGTCGCCAACTACAGCAAACTACAAAAGCTCGTACAACTTTCGTGATGATCCTCCCTTGTACTCGCCATTAGGGCTTCGACTAACTATCCTTTTCATGCGAGTGGTACATCCTGTGACCTAGCTTCTATTATCCCCTCGTCTAACAAGAGAGAGAGAGAGAGAGAGAGACGTAACATTGACTTTTTGATGAATTTTTTCATAATGGTTGAAAAATTGAAACCAACAATACCCTGTTTTACCAGCAAATGGTTAATTTAACTCGTTAATATTAAAATTGTCATCTCCATCTATCTGAAAGGCAAACATTTAAAAACATTTGTATAAAGTTCGGTTAGAGGTAATTTATGTTTCTCTACGAAATTTATTTTATTCCAGTTCCCACATATATATATATATATATATATTTACAAATTTTCAAAGGATTTTTCGAAGGAAATAAATGTCACCACGTACACATTTTCGAGTTATTTTCTCGCGTGAAGGTTATTTTCTCGTTCCCTTTGGACTGGTACATCCACTTTATCTTCAACATGGCAGAATAATTGCAAAAGTTAGGAAAAGAAAAGTCGTTCACGCCTCGAAAACTCATTTAACACGCGCGGTATTCCTTCGAGTGAATCGCAAGAATTGGCTGTTTATCAGGAGGAATGTTTGTCCTGAGAAATGATTCACCGGGCGACGATTCGTTGTTTTTCGCAGGATTCACAGCCAGTAGGGGCGGTGATGCTGATAAAGTACGATGTGGAGCAAACACCAGAGCTAAGGTTGCACAGTTTCGCGATCAAGAAACATGGCGCGCCGACGCTTCGACTCGCGGCGGATACGGAAGAGGCAGCAGCTCGATGGACGACGGTCATCAAGGAGGCCATTGAGAGAAACGACCAAGTAAATGTCGCGTGTAAACTTAATGAGTTATTCCGTTACGTGTGTTTACATAAGAGAAACCTGTTTAAAGAGGAAGCAACTGACGTTACTTCCCGTGTTATGCACAAACATAAGTTTGACAAAAAGTTTCTGCTATTTAAAAAATTTATATGTAAAAAAATTGTCAGTCAAATCTTCGTAATCAAATCTCAGGGAATATTTGACAAATTAAAATGATATGAATTTTGCAAATTGAATAATTAACAGAGGTATATACACTTTTTACGACCGCCTATAAATATATTTTTCGAAATATTCTTACTCGAGATGAAAGGAATTTTTAAGGAATTTTAATGAAACGATAATAAAATCCGAGGCTTTGTAAGTTTAAGAAAACGAGATTCGTTTTAAAACTCTCCAAGTTTGGCTATCTGTTGGAACTTATTTGAATTTGGCTAGATTAGATGTCTGGAATTGTTACGAAGAATCGTGTAGTTCAATTAAAATAGTTACGAAAATTCATAATAACACGAATATTCAAGAATATTAATAAAAATATTAATAAAAATACTTTAATCACTTTTGTGAGTCGAATCTTAGTTAAAGTTCACTCTTATTATAAGTTTATACTTTTAACATCGATGTCTCCCTCTCATAACCTCTTTCTAACTATTAAAATTGTTTCTTTATAGAACAAAAGACAAGACAAAAGACACTTGCAAATTTTTCTTTTCGCTCTAATAAAAATATTATTTAACACAACATTCGAAAGTAAGATTCGTTATATATTTCCACCTCTCCCTTTGAGATTCCACCACTATTATTTGATTCTTATTGCTTCTGATCACACATTTTACAGGTCGACACCTGGCTGGAAGCGTCGTTAAGAATGCGTGAGATGGCGGCGTGCGCCATTCACAGACCAGATTGCTTTGGGTATCTGAGCAAGCAGCAGGAACACGCAAGGAAAACATCCTCGCCAACCGGTTGGTCGAGGCGGTATTGCGTGCTGAAAGACGCCGCGTTGTATTTCTACGACGACGCGAATGCCGAGAAGGCGTTCGGTGTCGCCTGCCTTCACGGCTTCAGAGTGCACAGCAGCGCACCCACTTCTGGTGGCAGGAAGCACGCGTTCGAATTGCAGCCACCAGACCCCACGCAGAGGAGTTACATCTTCGCCACGGAATCAGAGATGGACAAGAAACGGTAACCTGTTTTGTAACCTGCTCGATCGTCATTTTATTATTATTTTTTTATTTATTGTTATCGTATCATACTTTTTACGTAATATGTTTTATATTACAATTTAATTATATATATATATATATATATATGTTTGTTTCATTATTGTATATATGTTTTATATTACACTTTAATTACCTTTTCATATCTTTTTGTTAAGTTATTTTAGATAGATGATTATCTTATATTGTTTATATTATTATTATTTTTATTATATTATTATATTATTTTTTATTATATTATTTTTATTATATTTATATTTTATTTATTAATAAATAATTTTATTGTCACGCTTAGGAATTTGAAACGAAATTTAGGACGGTTAAGTGAATTGTGTTTGAATTTCAGGTGGCTCGCAGCACTCGAATATTCGATCGATCGATGGATAAAGATTGGTTGACAAAGGCCGACCTACCGTACGAAGAAGCAAAGAAGTCGAAGCAGCGAAGATCCTTTGAGATGTCCTTCGCCTCTTTCTGTTTCCGGTTCCTAACGAACATTGACGAAAATCACAAATTCATCGATCACCGTCGCCGTTATCACCTCGATCGTCGTTCGCAAATTCATCGCGTGGATCGTGTCGCAAATACTCTTCAAATTCGCGATTCGTCAGAAATCATGATAAGCGATTTCATTATCTATTATCAAATATTGTTTACCTTCGTAAAGAATTTTGAATTTTTCTTCTCATTCGATTAATTTAATCGATATCGATGATGACGTAATCTTTTAAATATTTCATATTTTTCTCTCTTTTCCTATGAAGAAATGTTATTTTCTAATTGCAAACTTTCTTAAATTTAGTCAATGTTGTTATAATGTTGTTCAATTATATATATATATCAAACAACATTGGATTAAAGAAATTTCAATTAATAATTAACTTTTAAGCGCCTCTTTCACAATTTCAATTTTATACAAATTTTGTGTAAATTTGATCCTTTATTGTATAAATTTCGATAATTCTGCTGTTTGCAATTTTTAAAAATTTCGTCACGTTCTTCTATAGCTGTTTATATTTATACGAATTTTTCGTCGATCTCGTTGTTGCCGGTGATTCCGATGCTCGATTCGTAAAACTTCGTCAATCTCTTAGTGTCACGGATCATTTTTTATAATAATTACTGATTGTCAATGGCGTTGCATTTATCAAAAATTCAATATTCTTAACGCAATTGATACTTGAAACAATGTTTCTCAAACATGTGTATTATATTTAAAACATTCGATAATATGCTGTTGATTTCTGATATATTTTGTATATCGTTCAAAGTAAGAAAAAAAAAACATTGCTTATCTAAATAATTTTAATCGTAAAATAATTCAAAAGTAATTGATTTCGTTAAATATTTTTTTATCTTTGAAAAAAGCATTTTTTTAATTATTTCAATAAATACATTTATAAAGTCACATTACGTGCACGATATTTCACTTATATATCGTGTAATTTTAAGAAATTTGCATAATAATATGTAGGCTATAAGATAAAATTAAATTTAATTTATTTAGACATTTTATATTCAATTTTTTAACCAATTCACTTTCACTGTCATTAAGACATTTAATACGATCTAGTGTTCATGTAATATCGATTAACCTATCATTAATATCGTCAACGATCACTGAACGAAAAAAAATCAGCTTCGAGATCTCTTTCATTTCCCTATCCAAATATACACGCACAATTTTTACCGTTTGTAATAATCGTTACTTTTTCGATAATGATGCTCACAAAACGCATAAAGACTTGAAAACATCGTAAGAAAGTAAGGAAACAGTAGCTACTACATCGTTTAAAATGACAGGAAAGTTGAGAAACACTGTTTCAAGCTAGTCCCAGTATCGAGTCAGACAAATCTTAATACAATAGAACTTCATTTATCCGAATTTTATTCATTGGAATTGCTATTTAGAAAAATTTTATTTCATCGTATATTAATAGTAATAGTTATCAATTTTGTGAGATTAGTCGTTATCATTGAAAGGATTAATAATCGAATTTTACTGAGTTTTTATTATATTAATATAGAGATGATCTATGCTTTTTATTAGGTTGTAGAAGATTTTATAACATCGTACGAACATTATTACGTCGCTAGATGTCTCGTCAATCGATGCAAAGATGGCTAATTCCTTAATCTTTGAAGATATTCCGATAAAAGAAGTTCTATCGTATTTATAATCTTCGTGATTCGTGTCTCGTGCTCGTGACTTAGTAAATTTTTGTATTGTTAATCAGCTTTTGGATTCTGTTTTTATATATACAAACGTTGCATACTTTATCGACACACAGGAATTGAAATCACACTCGACAAGCGTGGAACATGAAAATAAGAAGAAGAAAAAAGAAGCAAGGGGATGATGAGAATTGTTTATTCACCAACTGTGTCTTGTATTAAAATGATTACGATTACCGACTTTTTCTCTTACAGAATTAGGATTCGATTTAGATTTTAAGAGAATTTTAACTGTCGTCCACCGAATTTTCATTGGAAAATTTTTCTCATAGCAGAATCGAGGATACATTAGATCGATGCAAATGAAATGGCTGAATTTGAACGTCTGTAATTTTATAGAGAATAAATTTTTTTTTTAATGAATAAAGATATAATTCAACAGATATAATACATTTTGAAAAACGTTAATAAAAAAGAATTCGTAATAAGAAAATTTTGTTTGAGCTTTAAATTTTCATAACTCAAGACTTTCGTATCATAAATATTATAAATATTAATTGAAACGTTTAGCTGAATTCAAATTTTGAATGATTTTACTTTTATAATATTGGCCATTTCATGTGCAACAATTTAATACATTTTCCAAAAGCATTGTTCGTACTTTATTGTACACTCTGGTATAGTCAATAGACAAATATTTGAAAATTATTGTAAATTATTAATTAAAAGTTACATATTACCGCGACACACAATAACAAACAGGATTTCCTTTGTTATTCGAATTGTATTTGTTTTAAAAATTTAAACAAACATATTGTGTCTCTAAAATTGAATGAAAGATTCATAAGAATCGTGAATAATTAACAGTTTAAATTAAAATCGGATAAAAATAATGCAGTTATTTTAAATGAAATTTTTATTCGAAAAATGATCCTTTCCTTATGTAAATAGTTGAAGATTTATTCGAATAATCATTAAAATAAAAAGAAATAAGAGAAGAAAATTCAAGAAGAGAAAATTTAAATATAAATTTTACAAACTTACAAAAGAAAAAAAAAAACTTACAAAAGAAAAAAAAAAATATTAAAAATTTGATTGTTCGAATAATTTTCAACCAAATTGAGAGAAAGATCATTAAAGAATAAAGCGCAAATAAAAATAAATCGAAAAAGAACCATCACGAAAATTCCCCTCGTGCGAAGAAAAAAATAATTTTTCGCCCAACAAGATTTGCTTTCTTCCGCGTGCTTGTTGTGAGTACGAACAATCCAACAATTAAATCACACGTGACCGTGTGTAATTGGAATTGCCGCCATTATATCGCCAATATTCTTACCGCCAAATATTTGTATCGATAAACCACGCGAACCGTGATCTTAGAATCAAGAAGAGGAATCAAAATAATAATCTTTCCTCGAGAAACGAAGAAAATAATTTCGAGAGTGATAATTTCAAGGGGGATCGGGGAACGAAGAGTATTTCAACGAAGATTAAGCGTGAGCGCCCGTGTTAATTGCGACAGAAATCGATAGATGTCGCGCGGAGAGCAGAAGAGGAACGAAGGACAGGGATACAATCCGAAAGTGCGTCCATAAGCGACGCGAGGAAACGCCAGGAAAATTGAACGACAGACCGCTCAAAAAAAAAAAAAAAAGCACACAGATAATAAAATAGGAAGTTTAATACAATTGTAGAATGAAGTGCGTCAATTATTTACCTGTCACCCTTCGAGCTGGTTTGAAGGACGTTGGTTTTATTGCTGTTTAGATGATGCAGTGTCTTTTCCATAGGTAGGAGGATCCTCTTACCGCCGAGAAAGCCGGACAGCGGTCGCTCTTATTGACCAATATAGACATTTCTTTCTTGAACTCTGTATAAAATAGTTTTTATACAGATGTTCATTACAACTGTATTTTTTCTGGATACTCTTTGGATTTGTTTTCGTGACTGAATTGGTAAATTAATCACGTAGAAAAAGAAAAAGAGAGATAGAGAGAGAGAGAGAGAGAAAGAGAGAGAAATCTATATTCTTTTTATATTTGGTGAAAGAACGATTGGTTTTTTAAATAGAAATGTATTTATTATGTAATAGGGTGGAACGAAATAGAAGGAAAATTTTTATGCGTCATTTAAAATTCACATGTAATGAATAAAAGTTGTATTAATTTGTTTTTCGTTTTTAACAAATAACATTCTTCTGCATATGTAATAATTTTAAATAGGAAAAATTTGAAAATTTAAACTGAAAAAAAAATATTTTATTAAAATTCATGTTTTATTAAGAATTTTATTCAATTTTGATCTTTTTCGTTCTACTCTAAATACTACAATATACATATTGTATTAACTGGCCGTTAAAAAATTAAATTGGAGTATTTGTAATGGAAAATCTATTAAGCCAACTTAAGCACATTATTATTCATAAAAATTAATACTTATTTTTACATACATAATTTTACAATATATCATCGAGATTAACAAGTTTCTTTGTTTAAATTTTTATAATGGATGTATGTGATTGTAATTAAGATATGGGTAAAAAATGTCGATAATTATATCTTCCTTGTTGATTAAGTATTATATTATGTAGAATATTTGATAAAATTATTTAGAATGAATTATATAATTGAAATAAATTGTACTCCTTTCATTCTATTGCAAAAAAATATACAAAAGAAGAAAGCTTTACAAGCTATAATACTTTATTATATTTTTATTGTATTTTTAAATATAAATAATTTTTGAGCAATTTTATAAATAGATAAAAATTTTAAGCTTTTATGAGTAATTTATTTAATTAATTGTACTACGTAATTGTACTATATGTTATTAATAATTTTTTTTTAAACTATATTTAACTATATTTAACTATTATTTAAGAAAAATATCCCAGATTCAAATATATGATTCATTCTATATATATCAATGAAAAATATTTCTCTGCAAAGTGAAAAAGCGCACAAATTCAAATTTGTGAATTTATTGAAGAAACATATTGGTTAAGAATTAAAAAATTCATAAATAAGTAAAAAAATAAATAAAACAAAAAATAAGAATGTTAGTGGCTTTGATGATAATAATCTCATATAAAAAATAGTGATTTTTTTGTTTTATGAAAATCAAATCAAATAAAATTTCGAATTAATTTTTTGATTATCGTCTCAAATTCATAAAATTACACTAACATAATTTTTATTGAATAAAATGGCTGATTCGTTCGTTCAAATTTTTTAAGCATTTTACTAATAAGAATTTTTATAAAATGTATGAGAAAAATGAAAAATTGTGCAATATTATTGTAAAAAATTAGAATCAGTGTGATTGTAAAAGTACAAAAAGGTCAAATGTAACCGTGTCCGTCTTTCTAGTGCCAAAACTGGAATTATTTAATTGAACCAATCGAGATTGTAATAAATGTCGTTGAGAGAAAATAATATTTGCATTATTTTATTGACTTTATAACACAAATCTTTTATAACGCAAATTTTTTAAGAACCACTCGTTAATGTAATTTACTAATTGTGTATAAGAAGTTTTACCATTTTTCGCGTAGATGGCAACACAAGTCTAAGACCACAAAAGTTCATTTTTCCGTCGGCAATAATGTCCAACAAGTTTGGGCATTGATGAAATAACACATTAAGATCTAAAAGAAATTTGCATTTTTATATATATCATAAATGCTTATATCTGTATATATATCTGTATGCTTAATTTTCAAAAATATGATAACTTGATATGATAAAAAAAAGATAAATATGCAAAAAAAAAAAATATATCAAATTCCATTCCATTACAAATTAAAATTAAATAAAATGAACAAAAAAAAATTGCGTTATTTTTATCTAGTATGTATTCTGCAATATCAATGACATAATTTTTGGCAGCTGCATTCCCATGGACTCGAATTGATAATAATTGTCCACTAACTATTTCCAAGTATTCGTGAAACAGACTCCCAAGATCGAAACGTATAATTTCGCAATGGAATTCGAAAGGCTTCGAGGATTATTAGTCAGTTTGCCGAACTCCATACGCAATTACGATACTGATACGTTACACTATACCTGCGATATTAACCATTAATTCCAATGAATAATAATTATCGTTAAATTATTGCTGTTCGAGCCATATTTTACATTAATTGTATTTTACATTAATTTCAAATTTGAAATTTTCGCTGCGTTTAGGCGAAGAAAATATCTTGACTATCAAAAGATAAGGCCAATTAACTATTTGCAAAAATTATGCAGATAGTGAAGACTACAAATAGATATATTTTGCATAATTCTTGTAATAATTTTTAAACGAATAACGGCGGCGTTGATATTAATTTGAAATAAGGAAGAGGATATATATTAATTTAGCATAAAAATAAAAGAATTACCGTAATAAATTTATTATACGAAACAGTCTGCATCATGTAGCACAATTCTAAAAAAAAAAAAAAAAAAAAAAAAAAAGATAATTAACCAGAATTTAAAATAGAAAAGCAAATTAAATTATAAAAATCAACAACAAGCTAACTCGAAACTTTAAAAAGTATATAACAAATCTTTATAATATTTACAAAAATTGTCATCCGAAAAATTTCGCGTCTCTAACGAATCTTATCAGCTCGTATCATCTCCACCATCGCGATGAAATTCCAATCCTCTCATCTCTTTCGGTTAGACACCGAAAAAACCGAAAAGCTAGCAAAAGCGGGAAGATGGAATCAGCTTAAACGCGAGGTAGAACCCTCGTCCAATGATTCGGGGACGAGGTGTAAAACAAATTTGAGTTTGGTTAGGGCCCGGTACACGGTTTATCCGAGGTTGAACCGGTGGTATCCGTTTGATAGCAGATAGGAGGCCGAACGACGCTGGTATGTTCTCATTACGCGTCGTGTAGGTATGCGGCGGCCAGTTCGTGTTCTCCATGCCTCGAGATCCGTGCACACGGCTCCGGACCACGTTTCTTCTCCTTCCTCCTATGCGTTCTTCCTTCATCTTCTTCTTCTTCTTCTTCTTGCTCCCTTTATCCTTCCTTTCCTTTCTTGGATCCAGGATTCAAGCTTCGTTCACAACGATCACTCGTCGTCGTTCCCTTTCGGTTTTCCTCTTTCCTCCCCTCTCCCTCTCCTTTTTCCCCTTTTCCCTTTTTTTTTAGAATTATTCTATCTCTATTAGGCTCCGTTATCGCTGTTTTATCGCTATTATATATATATATCGAGAGAGTCACGCATATCAATATCTGACCTGAAATGAAAAATTCATACGCTTCCTTCGCTCTTCCTTTCGCTCTTTCATCCTGTTTATTATTCATGAACACGGGTTCTCGTTCCAAGCAAGGCACGATAAGAAGTGAACGGGAGCGGAAAGTCACCTGTGCGACTGTTCGAATTTTCGGAAAGACGTGACCGAGAGGGGTCCTCGACCCTGCCATTTTCTACCTACCGGCTTATTTTTAATTCGCTCTTCGTTCTCTCTCTCTCTCTCCCTCTTTCGTTTGTCCTTTTGAAATTCCTT